AGGATTCTATCAATTCCTGCATGTTTCCCCCCCATGTCAAACCAAGTCCTCCCCTTTAAGTATCTGTGCAGAAATCTCCACCCAGCCACTGAATCCCGGAGATTTTGGAAAGGATATATCGCTCATTGTTGCCCTTGTTTGAATCTTCAATAAGCAAACAGGAGCTTTGTTGATTCAGACATTACATATAAGCTCAGGCTAGTAAATAATTCAGGGCTCGCCTTTTTGTCGGCTCCTTCAGAAAAATCAATTGGGGGGTTTCTAAAAATATATAATCGTCGCAAGCTAATTGATCTACTAATGCCCATTGTTTGCTTTTCTACTTTCAACAAATGCACAGCAAATTGCTTGTGAAATGATGTTTGCCAAGGGAGTCCTGCGACAGAGTCAGGAAGGACAAGACTGCTCTCTGCTCAATCATCCACTGAGAACGACATGGAACAAAATGGATTCAGGCCTAATTCAAAGGTGCAGACAAGGCTGTAGGGGGCACAGAAAAACCCATCAGCTCTTCGCCTCTGTGGGGCGGTGCTGGTGTGTAGAGGTTTAGTTTCCATGTAAGCAAATTCAAATAGGAGAAGGAAAACTCTGATCCCAGAGCTTCGCTGCCTTACCTCCGCTGTTCATTCATGTCAGGGACCGTGCTGAGCAGGGCTGCACTGAAGAGGAATAGTGGGAGCCCCCGCTCCCCCTGCTCCTGAATCTTCCCAGGAGCAGGAGAACAGTATAGATTTGGAACAGTGGTTTGCAGAGGGGCATAGTTCAGAAGGCAGTAGCTGGGGAATTCTGGATGGGGAACAGCTAAGAGAAGAAACAGTGGAAGAGAGAGGGTTAACAGGTTCATAGTCTTTGGACAGCATTCCTCCAGCGCCCTCCCCAAGGTCGAGAAGAGCTCAGAAAGTCTCAGAACAGAAAGCACAGAGGATACTAGCTCAGACTTACAAGACGCAGGAGTGACATGGAATAATAGGGACGGAGGGGGTGTAAGCCTTAGTTGGGAGCACCGCCATTCGAAGTAGACGGGTGCTTTGTCTCTCACTGTGATTATTAAAGAATCTAATTGGTATGACGTTCCTTTCATTTGATCTCTTCTTATTTACTGCCACAGGGGAGGAAACCAATTCTCCGAAGTCTGACATTCATTAGAAAGGCTTTGGGAGTAAGGAAAAGGAAAAGTCTGTACCAGTTGCCTTGCGGGATATCTTTGGGAGAAGTAAAGACCAAGGAGTAAACCCTACAGAAATCCATAGTGGAGTCTGTAAGACAGTGGGATGGTGCCTTGCATGCCTCCTTCTGACAACTCCTTCAGCTAAGCTGGTGCCAAACGTCTTGCTCTGCTTTCCTTTGGACCCCCATCAGCAAGGCAGAAAGGCAAGGGTCTTGTCGTCTGGGCAGCCCAGGACCTCCATACAGACTGCCCATGCTTGCAGCCTGGAGGGGTCACTTCTGTGCTACTAGCGCAGCAAAAACAACACGGCATGCGGCAGTTACGAGTTACCGGTTTCTGCAGGCGCTGTGATTCTCCAGCACTTTGGCTTCACCCCCAGAGGCACACTCCATTGTCCCTTGAGATAGACAGACACCAACAAGAGGATTCAAGTATTCCTGCAGCGGCACAGAACTTCAACTGGTCAGCCAGTTATGCATCACCCAAAAAAAAAAAGAGAGAGAGAGAAAAGAAGGATACAGGGTGTGTAGCGGCAATTATTGCAGTTTAAATAGAAATGCAATACACAGCAGCCTGGTCAGGAGGAAAGTGTGCAGTCCATGTGTTCAGTGATGGGCCAGCCTGAGATCCTGCATGTGTTGCCAGGCTTGAACTCCCATCAGCACCAGTCAGCATGCCCAATGATCAAGGATAATGGGAGTTGTAGTCCAGCCACATATGGAGTGGGGGATGCCACATGTTCCCCATCCCAGCTGTACGTAGGTCCCAGTCCATAGCAATGCACAACAGAAAATCATTCTCCACCAGTTGGAACTGCAGAAAAAAGAGCTTTGCCCTCTGAGACTCCCCAGAGTCTCAGATAATGTCATGGGTTGGTTGGGTACAGAGGAATAAGCTGGGAAACCCTCAAAGGAAGAAGGTTCAGAGCCCAGCGATTGGTGCCGGGATGACTATGAGTGGTCAGAGAGAGAAAAGGGAGAAGACAGGGAGGAGGAGGTGTCGGAAGCTGAAGAGGCAACAAGGCTTAGTGAGCTGGAAGAGTCTGTGGCAGAGAGAAGCCCAGAATCAGAGGCAGAAGCTGAAGCAGGAGAGGAATAATAATAATAATAATAATAATAATAATAATAATAATTTATTTATACCCCGCCCATCTGGCTGAGTTTCCCCAGCCACTCTGGGCGGCTCCCAATCGAGTGTTAAAAACAATACAGCATTAAATATTAAAAACTTCCCTGAACAGGGCTGCCTTCAGGTGTCTTTTAAAGAGAAGATAGCTGCTTATTTCCTTCACATCTGAAGGGAGGGCGTTCCACAGGGACTTGGCCACTACCAAGAAGGCCCTCTGTCTGGTTCCCTGTAACCTCACTTCTCGCAATGAGGGAACCACCAGAAGGCCCTCGGCGCTGGATCTCAGTGTCCGGGCTGAACGATGGGGGTGGAGACGCTCCTTCAGGTATACAGGATGAGGCCGTTTAGGGCTTTAAAGGTCAGCACCAACACTTTGAATTGTGCTCGGAAATGTACTGGGAGCCAATGCAGATCTCTCAGGACAGGTGGCCACTCCTAGTCACCAGTCTAGCTGCCACATTCTGGATTAATTGCAGTTACCGGGTCACCTTCAAAGGTAGCTCCACATAGAGCGCATTGCAGTAGTCCAAGCGGAAGATAACTAGAGCATGCACCACTTTGGCAAGACAGTCCGCAGGCAGTAGGGTCTCAGCCTGCATACCAGGAAGGAGGAAGGAGGCCAAGAGGCAGAGATGAGTCTGGTGAAGAAGCAAAGCTGCCTCCCCCTCCTGCTGTGACAAGCTCCCCTTGTCTGCCAGAACTAGGAGAGGCATGAAAAGGGTGGAGGAAAGGTTGGTTTCACGCAGGCACAGTCTCCAATTGCTTGGAAAAAGCCCTGGAGAGGAGGGAACTGTGTGGAGGGGAAAGGCACTTAGTCTTGGCAATTGATCCATGGGGTGAGACCTAGCGGAGATCAGCTGCTGTGCTCATGAGGCCTGACACTCCCGCCAAGTCTGTGCAGATCATGTTCTTGCTAATAAAGAGTTAACTCCAGCTTGCACAGTGTGATTTCCTGCTGGCTCGCTCCTGACCGGTAATAAACTTGGCCTCATAGGTAGCTCTTGGCGGTGGAACCAACCTCACTCTGCCCTCAGCCAGTCCCCACTGACAGCCACCTCCCTCCCCCTTGGTCTCAGTGTTGCCCTTGCAGAACTCAGCGGGGAGGAGTGGGGGTAAAACCGGAACAAATTGGCTCTGCCTGTTATTTAACTCTCTGCCTTCTGCCCTTCAAGCCTCAATTGGCAAGGGCCCTGGTGGGGCTGCTCGACTCACAGACAGATGACCCTGGATGGCTCTGCTAGCATTAATCCAGCAAAACCTTGCATGATGCTCTGTGATGTGCGCTCTACAGAGTGTAGGAGCTGCGCTGCCAAAGACGTCTCGTAAATACCTGTTTAGCCTCGGTCTGTTAGTTCATTCTTACTAACTGGGGCAACTGCTTCACGCTCCATGACTCGCTGTCGCTTCTGCAAAGCTACCATATGCCTGCACAGATGAGGGCTGAGAGAGAGGGAAAACTCCCTCTTAACTCCAAGGAAGAGCACTTGGTAAATATTTAGAGACTGATTTACAGATCACTGGATGATGCTGACAAGAGGAGCGTGCGAAACAAGTGCCTCCCTCCCTGCTCCGTAGGAAGGGCCAGATGGCGCCCAAAAATGCAGATGGAAAGGAGGGTAGCTTAACTCCTAGACGGTTCACTCAGATCTAACGCAGATTTAAGCATTACTCGTTGAACTATGCGCATGTCGGTCACATCCACACAATGCATTTCAAGCACGTTTTAAGCACACAGCTTCTCCCAGAGAATCCTGGGGTCTGTAGTTCACCCACCAGAGTTACATTTCCCAGCACCCTTAACAAACTACAGTCATGTGCTTTCAATGCACATTAAATCCATGTAACCACCGCCTGACCTATAATGGCTCACATTACTATTACTATTACTGTTTAAATTTGTATACAGTGGTACCTCGGGTTACATACGCTTCAGGTTACATACGCTTCAGGTTACAGACTCCGCTAACCCAGAAATAGTGCTTCAGGTTAAGAACTTTGCTTCAGGATGAGAACAGAAATCGTGCTTCGGCGGCGCGGCGGCAGCAGGAGGCCCCATTAGCTAAAGTGGTGCTTCAGGTTAAGAACAGTTTCAGGTTAAGTACGGACCTCCGGAACGAATTAAGTACTTAACCTGAGGTACCACTGTACTGCCCTATACCTGTAGATCTCAGGGCAGCTCACAACTAACAACAACAACAACAACAACAACAACAAAAACTATTAACAACAACAAGAAGAACAACAACTATTAACAACAACAATAATACCCCAACCATCTGGCTGGGTTTCCCCAGCCACTCTGGGCGGCTTCCAACACATAAAAATAATTTTAAAAAAGCAAACATTCATAGTAACAATCAGACCCAATATAAAAAGTCACAATAACTGTAAAACAAACAATTTATATCAAATAAAGCAATATCCATTAGAATCCTATAAAAAATCACAATATAAAAAACACAGAGTACATAATAAAAGCAAAAGCAAAGACAGTCCAGTAATCCCTGCTTCCACAACACATTTTGAAAGGGCACCGGGTGTCAATCAGCCAAAGGCCTGGTTGAAGAGGGACGTTTTTCGCCTTGCATGCTGTTTCTGATAAGGAAATGCAAATGACTGTTTTGGCAAGCTAGAGGCATGGGCTGGCTTCCATTCAGGGGCGATGAACCCCAGACCTAGAGAGCGAATCCAGTGTTCCAGTTGGGCCTGGGATAGCTCAATCAGTAGAGTGTGAGACTCTTAATCTCAAGGTCGTGGCTTCAAGCCCCAAGTTGGGTAAAAGATTCCTGCATTGCAGGGGGTTGGACTAGATGACCCTCGTGGTCCCTTCCAATGGTACAATTCATTGAGTCTACCTGTCCCTCTGTCTTCAGGCCCCACCCCTCACCAGCCCTGCTCCGCCTCCTCCTCAAGTGCCGTTGATCAGCTGAAATGTGTCCTTCAACTAGGACAGTGGAAGGTTGTGATTGTGGGGCAGGGTACATATGGGTTGTTGCTGTTGTTTTTAAAGTATTTTTTATTTTGCTTTAAACAAATACAGATAAATATAAGCAACCAAAATTACAAAAAGAAAAATCCTTAATAATAATAATAATAATAATAATAATAATAATAATAGAAAAGGCTAAAAAAACCTACAAAAAATATCAAAGGACATGGCATAGAACATAAGCCATTATGGGAAAGAAAAAAGAAAAAGGAAAGGAGAAGGAGAAGGAAGGAAAAAAGGGAAGGGGGAAATGAGCCAAAACTTACGCTTCCGTCAAGGTCACAACAGATCATTATTCTTATCAAAGAATTGATCAAAAATCCAAAAAGTCGTGAAATATTACAAACAATAAAGATATCGCAATCCCATATCTCTAGCATATTAAATAAGGAAGCAGAAAATAAAATTAAATGGGTAAAACAAAGGTATTTTGAGTCCACCAATAAGCCTGCTAAGATGTTAGCATGGATGATAAAAGAAAAGCTGATAAAGGTTGTGGGTTTTTTTACCTCATCACTGATGCTACAAACAGCTCAAAGAAGTACCAGAGCTTTCAACTTCCTGCAAAATTCAGTGTGAAGACCGAATGCCCTGCTATTATCTCCACGGAACATTAGTGATTATCTATGAATCGCCAGCAAAGATGGGATTCTACCGTTATCATCGCATCCTGCGAGTGCCGCCCATTCATGGTACGTCTCCCTCCCCAGCACTCCATGAAAAGACTATGACTCTGTCATTAAGAAAACAACGCTGAGAAGAAGTGGGGAAGGCCACGCGGGAGAGCTCTTTTGAGTAAATTATGTTCCCTGTGAAAAGCAACAGCAGCTCTCCCTGTCAATCTAGCATTCATTCACAAATTCATTTGTTAGCTCAATCATTCCTTTATTCTGGTGCATGCGCACATGCACAGAGACGCATGCACACACTGCCCCCATGGCAGACCCAAATGCCACTCCATGCTCTGCCAGGCTGCCCACTCTGCTTGGTATAAGATGCTTACTGAGGTGCTCGTGGGAAATTGCAGTCAAACACAACTAGCAAGCATAGGGCTAGCTAGTGCATGAAGGGGTTAAGACAATAGAGCTGTGTTTCCTAGACTCAGTTAAGTCACACCCCCTCCTGTCCCCTGTGAGATAGGAAATGAAGCACACATTGGAAACTATTTTTTCTATTTTTCTGCTCAGGAGTATTCTGCCTGTGTTCTCCTTGCTGCTGTTTTGATAAATGCATGAATCTGACCTTTGGAACATTTTGTAAGTAAAGCATTTTAAACTTACTTAACGGTGTCTGGTTTGTTCATTGCAAGAGGGGTAAAAAACTGGGAGTGCTATATCTAACTAAACAGGATATGAAAAGGGTTTAATGGCCTAGATTCCCACACTATACTGCTGCCTGACTTTGTGAGTTTAAACTCTGCTGCTGGGGGCTCTCTCTCGCTGGACAATGTGCAAAGCCCCGCATTTTGAATCTAGGCACTCAGTTGATTCCCATATCAGGGCTGGCACAATACATTTTGGCACCTGAGATGTGTGGGAATGTTCTGGGGTGCAGGAGAGGATATATTGACTAATTATATCCTTATCCAACTTGTGCTAACAAGTTCCCAAAATATCAGCAGAGTTTATAGACATTCCCCTTTAAGTTCGCAACGGTAACGTGTGCACAGGTTACGCTAGAACCTCTATAATAATTACTCTGGTAATTTCCCTTTGTACCCTCATAAAATACAAGACACAACACAGACTTTATAAAAGTATAAAAGAGTTTACTCACGTTCTGTTCACAATATGATCCCAGAAGGCAGACAGCTTAAAAAGGTTACATACATTCAGAATCTATCTTATAGCAAGATAGTCCTTTCCTCCTCTCTTGGCTGAGACCCAAGACAGCATCTTTAGATGCTTCCTCATCGAAGGAAAATGGCAGAGAGAGAGTGGCTGCCTGCCCTGTGCTTTTTATCATTTACCTGCACAGGTGAGGCCACACCCACCTCTGGTCACATGCGGAGGAAGTCCGTCCCCAGGAAGTTTACCTGCTTGCTGGACTGACATCCCTCCCCATGTTCTAACATGTACACTCTAGGAATGTTGTCATTGACTGCTCCTGTGTTTACAAGATGGACCCCAGAATCCCCCCTCCCTGCCAAAGAAGGGGTGAGGGAAGATCTATATCAGGAACGGGGCGGGGGGTGAAAGATTGACATTGGGATCTGCTACCTGGTAGATCCTGCCACTTGAGGCGGGCACCATTCTTGGCCCCCACACTGGGCCACCCAGGCCCACATGGCAGGTGATTGTGGACTCTGCACACATCCACACAAGTTTTTGGCAGCCTCTGCACAACTTCGCCCCCCTCAAAATGCTATCTCATATTCCACCATGCTCCCATTTAGTCAGGATTTACTGTTACTGGAAGGAGTTCAGCATCGTGCTATAGGGATCACAGCAGGATGCGCTGCGTGAAAAATGTACCTTTGGTCCTTCCTGAATTATCCAACATTTGGCTTCATTGAATGGCTCTGGGTTCTAGCATGATCAGAGAAGGAAGGGAAAACCTGTCCTCTTTCACATTCTCCAAATTTCTTCCACATTTTCAGGGTACCTACAGAGATTCAATGTGGCCTGGATCATCTGAGGGTCCCAGAGGAGCAAGAGACTTCTCTCTCTCTCTCTCTCTCTCTCTCTCATTATTTTATTTGTGCAAGCATCTCCACCCCCACCCTCCGCTTGCTTGTATGCCACAGTTTGTGGGAAGCTGATTTTTGTCTTCCCAAGGACTTTCTGACAAGGAATACTGTGCAGAGTCCCCCAGAGTCCTTCACTCGCCTTCCTTTCTGCTTTGATTGACAAGGCGCCGTGGGCTGGCTTTAAAAGGGCTGCCTTTCTTTATTGTGTGCTCCCCCCACGCCCTCATGTCCCGCCAACACTGTTTAGTTCCTGATGAGCCCGGGAAACGCATGGAAAGCCAAACCGGAGTAAAGAATCACAGAGATTCTGTAGAGTTGGAAGGGACCCTGAGGGTCATCTAGTCCAACCCCCTGCAATGTTGTTTCCACAGGTCTGGAGAGAGGCAATTTGTGGTAATATCACAAATTTTATGGTCTGTTTTTAGTATGCCTAAAATCCTTTGCTTATCACTGGGCACCCCACATTTTCTCCAAAAAATTGCTTTGCGCAGGTAACGACTATAGAGTTATCTAAATTTTCAAAAGTTGGGGGTCCCTGGCTTGGCTTTTGAAAAATAGGGGGTCCTTAGTAATTAGCTAATTGGGAACCACTGATCTAGATGCATGTTAAGCTGGTAACATGCACACAGCCTAAGATTCATCTCCCAGTCCAGTTATCTGGACTGCATTGCAGTAGATGACAATTCTATGATTCTACGATGCAGAATTGGGGTCATATTGATAACAGGATTTGGCCTGCTTAAGCTGAGCTTGCAAATGATTCCGCTTTAAGGTTTTCCAACTCAGCTAAATCGACAGCGAGGGTTATTTTCACTCTCCCCGGGCCATACCAATTGGCCCTGCCAGGAGAGAGGTTTAGCAGGCTAACAGTTCTGCCAGGAGCTTTCCTGCACCTTTGGAAGCAATCGATGCAAAGATCACTCTTTCTGAAGCGGAAGCACGAGCGGTTGGGAGCAGGAGCCAGCCTGTGTGAGGTTGTGATGGATGAGAGAGACCTGGAGGGGAGATCACAGCAGAGCGGGGAGGCCAGCGGCAGAGACGGAAAAGGGTCTGAACTTGGCAAATGTCCTAGAAAGTGACGGACAAGGGGAGGTTTCCCCGACAGCTTGAGAGTCACCATTCTGTTCGGAGAACTGAATTGCTCCTTTTACGCACTTCCAAACAGGTTGAGGGAGTAACAGGACCGTCTTTAGCAGATGCGGCGCCAGGGTGAAAATATCCACCCAGTGCCCCCAAATTACCATGGATAGTAGGGGGCCGAAGTTGCGCACTGCCAACCATCGGGGAGGTGCAACTCTCCCCCATGCCACTACGGGAGAGCGATCCCCGCAGAGGCTTGGGAGGGAAGCTGCATGCCTGCCAGCCTTATGGTTGGCAGGGCACAGCTGGCGGGCATGCAGGGAAAGGGGAGGCCGCCGGCAAAGCTGCACGGCTCCCCCACTCACTGGGCGCCTCTGAGAGGCCGGCGCCCTGGCGCAACGCACCACTAAACCCTATGGGAAAGGCGGCTCTGAGGAGTAAAATAAAATGAAACGAATGGCCCTCATGTTTAACAATATAAAATGAAATGAAATGAAAGGAATGGCACTCATGTTTAACAATATAATGTTAAACTAAAAAACTTCTCTATACAGGGCTGCCTTCAGATGTCTTCTAAAGGTTGCATAGTTACTTGTCTCCTTGGCTCAGGGGTTGTATAACTCCTTATCCGCTGATGTAAATAGGGACATCGTAAGGGAAAGTGAGGGACGTGGGTGGCGCTGTGGGTTAAACCGCTCTGGCGGGAAGGTAAACGGCGTTTCCATGCGCTGCTCTGGTTCGCCAGAAGCGGCTTAGTCATGCTGGCCACATGACCCGGAAGCTGTACGCCGGCTCCCTCGGCCAGTAAAGCGAGATGAGCGCTGCAACCCCAGAGTCGGCCACGACTGGACCTAATGGTCAGGGGTCCCTTTACCTTTAAGGGAAAGTGGGACATTCCAGGATCAATTCAGAAACAGGGACGCTTTCTGTAAATCCGGGACTGTCCCTGGAAAATATGGACACTTGGAGTGTCTAGAACCATGGTTCCCAATGTGGGGCACATGCCCCACAGAGGGGCAATTTGATTTTTAAGGGGGACAATTTGAGAATGAGTTAGACCAAGTTAATGGTCTTTTAGGCTTTCTCCACGTGAATAGGACTTCACTTTTTGAATAATAAGAATTATATGTCACGGGGGGGGGGTGCATCAGGATTTTAGAGATGCTTAGGTGGGGCATGGCCAAAAAAAAAGGTTGGGAAGCACTGGTCTAGAACCATCACAATAATTGTTCAGGTGTGCATCAAGCCCGTGTTGGTTGCATATTCCTTTGGAAGCCCCTTCTGTGCGTGTGACTCTCTCTTCCTGGATGGAGTCCCATGATTTGAAAAACTGAAAGTGGCCTTGCAGCCAGTTTTTCACATTCATCCGAAACTATTGAGACCTCTTGGAAGAAAAACAGAAAACACACACAGCGGGTGAAGAATGCAAGAAATATGCCCGTCTTGGCTTCCTGCACTGTCTTTGACAGGAGCCTCAGAGAGACGGGTCAATTCCCTCAAGGATGCTCAGCTTGAAAAACAGCCTTATCCCCCATTAGCACCTTGCCATAAAGAGGGAGGGGGAGTCAAGCATCACTGTAGGCCGGTGGTGACCCTTCCAATTAATGAAGCTGGTGTTGTAACCATTAACACCACTATTAAATTATCGGAGATTTTGCAGAGAAGTAATTGGGACCGCCTCGGTCGCTTAGCTATTTCCTTTGATAATGAGCACCTCTCTCTTAATCCAATTAGCATGATATCATGAAGTGGCGGAGGAAAGGGGACCTTGCAGCCAGAAGAGGAGACACACACGTACCACACGACTTCCGCGGCAAACTCCCCACCACCACGTTTGCTTGGTTTTTTTGGTACCCACCCTTCGTAGAAGCAACTTTGGAACAGGAAGTTTGCACTTAAATGTTCTTGGAGTTTTTGAACTTGCGAGTAGAAATTATTTCTCAGCTTTTGTGTTTCAGCACAAAGTTCTCTGTGAACATGCTGTGTGCCCATGGGCAGTACCAGAAGGGGGGCGGGGGATAAGCACACACACCCCAAAAAAACCCAAGAAAGCTGCGCCACACTCTGGCTGGGAACACACTCCTGTTTACTCTGCATCAGAAGCGGTGAACAATCTGATCCAGTTCACATTTAAAGGTGAACCTACCAAGTTCGCTGTTTCTGAAACCATGCACAAACAGAAACTGCCATCCTTCACAAGTTGCACTTTTCCAAATTTTTGCCATAGGGGCTGGGAGAACAGGGTTCAAACCCCTGCTCAGCCGTGAAAATCAACAGGTCGCCTTGAGTTGGTCCAGTTGCTGCCTCTCAACCTAAGCCTACCTCACAGGGTTGTTGTGAAGATAAAATGCATGCCCCCTTGAGTTCTTTGAACGAAAGGTGGAGTTTTATTTTATTTATTAAATTTATATACCACCCTTCATCCAAGGATCACAGGGCAATTTGCAATATAAAAACACACACAAATGTATACCATGTTGATGTTGTTGTTTAGTCGTGTAGTCGTGTCTGACTCTTCATGACCCCCTGGACCAGAGCACGCCAGGCACTCCTGTCTTCCACTGCCTCCCGCAGTTTGGTCAAACTCATGTTTGTAGCTTCGAGAACACTGTCCAACCATCTCGTCCTCTGCCATCCCCTTCTCCTTGTGCCCTCCATCTTTCCCAGCATCAGGGTCTTTTCCAGGGAGTCTTCTCTTCTCATGAGGTGGCCAAAGTATTGGAGCCTCAGCTTCAGGATCTGTCCTTCCAGTGAGCCCTCAGGGCTGATTTCCTTCAGAATGGAGAGGTTTGATCTTCTTGCAGTCCATGGGTCTCTCAAGAGTCTCCTCCAGCACCAGAATTCAAAAGCATCATTTCTTTGGCGATCAGCCTTCTTGATGGTCCAGCTCTCACTTCCATACATCACTACTGGGAAAACCATAGCTTTAACTATACGGACCTTTGTTGGCAAGGTGATGCCTCTGCTTTTTTTGCTTTTTTTTTTTTTGGTATACCATAGTAACAAACAAAAACTATAACGCCCCCCCATATTATTATCTAAATGTGATAAACAGACAGATAGACAGGATGTAAATATGATAGGTAGGGAGGCAGGTAGATATCCTCTAGGTGTGGGTTTTACTCCCACTGCTGCAGAAAGTTCTACCTGTTGAACTTCCATTTCCCCGCGCAGCTGCTGAAGCTAGAGCAGGCCTGCCAGAATGGAAAAGGCTGGTCTGCTGCGAAGTGGATGCAAAAAGCCCCCCCGCGCCCCCCGGCAAGCAAATAGCAGGCTGCCCCCGAAAGAGGAGCACCCTACTTGCCTCCCACCTCGAAGCTGGGAAAGCGATTAGTTTAATGGTGGCAATTCTCATTGGACACGCTGCTGCGCTTGATGTGCAATGCGCGCGCGAGTTTTGGAAGGGTTTGTTTGCTCAAAGGCAAGGAGGGCCAGCTGTAATACCAGTTGGTTTGCTGGGTTGATTTCCCTGGCATTGGGGGGGGGGGGGGAGAGAGAAAGAGAGAGTCTGCTGTTGTTTCCCTGCGGGTGTCTCCCGAGTAGGTAGGGGAATGCGGAGAATGCAGCCGAAATTAAGCACAACAAAGCAGCTCTTTGATTAGATTACAACAAACCCCATTGATCCCGATGTGCACAAGGATCTTGTTAAATAAGGTCAAGGGCTGCGGGAGGGAAACAGGGGTTGTGGAGGGGGCTGGATCGTTCCCAAATAATGCGTTCAGTTGCCTGCCTCCTGCGGCTCTGTGGTTGAGCATCTTGTTTTGCACCCAGAAGGTCCTAGGTTCAAATCCTGTCATCTCCAGCTAGAGGGGCTTGAAATTTCCCCCTGCCTGAGAGCCGCCACTGTCAGCGTACACCACCCTTTGCCAACCTGGTTGGGGACGATGGGAGCTGTAGCACAACCAGATCTGGGGGGCACAAGGTTGGCAAAGGCTGGTGTACGAGCCAGGGGGCCCAGTCATCTGACTCTGCATAAGGCAGCTTCCTATGTAAATCTATCGTGCATTTATAATTTTTTAAAATGCTTTTTATTGTATGGTTCTATGTTTTCGTTGTCGTAAACTGCTTTGAGATATTTTTATGGTGCAGCAGTACACAAATATGTTGAAACATTGGCATCCGTCTGCCTCAGGAGTAGACTGTGTCTTCACAACTCTACTGCTCCTTGCTCAAACTCAGCCCTTTAGTTAACTCCTGTCTAAATAATCTCCCAAGACACTAAGCCAGGGGTCAGCAAACTTTTTCAGTAGGGGGCCGGTCCACTGTCCCTCAGACCTTGTGGGGGGCTGGACTATATTTTGGGGGGGGAAATGAACGAATTCCTATGCCCCACAAATAACCCAGAGATGCATTTTAAATAAAAGCACACATTCTACTCCTGTAAAAACACGCTGATTCCTGGATCGTCCATGGGCCAAATTTAGAAGGCGATTGGGCCAGATCCAATCCCCAGGCCTTAGTTTGCCTACCTGTGCACTAAATACTATCTTGCTATCTAAGCTCAGAGACTCCTTTCTCTACCTGTAGATACGGTATGTTCTTCAGAGTGGATGTTTCTACCCAGAACCAACTCTCCAACTTTCTCCCTTAAATCACCTCTCACTCTCTCTCTCTTTCTCATCTTTTAAAAATAATCTTCACACAGGAGAGGGAAGAGCCTGTTCCCTTCATTTTCCCAATCCAAATGGCACCTTCTCCCCCGTAACACATGCGGGTGGATGGAGTCGTGAAATTGACTGGACCCAGTCAAAGGAACTTCTGGTCTAGACAATTTCACTTGCACACACAAAACACACTCGTTTCCTTTTCTTCAAGACAGCTTCGTGATTTCCATGGTGGGATGCCCATGAATTTGTGTCGTGGGAGGAGCAATGACAAAACTCAGCAGTGCCTCCCCTGCAGCTCTGAAAAACGAATTCCCATTCAGAAACCGAGTCGCTGAGTCAGGCCGTGTAGGTGAGGTGCCCAGCGAAAAGCATTGCTCACATTCCGCAGCCAAGGAACGTTGCGAGGAGCCAGAATGGCTCTGCCCACTCACCGCCAGCCTGAGCAACCATGAGCTCTGAGCACAGCAAACAAAAGAGTGCGACCCCTTCTCACATTGTTATCGTTCCTAAAAGGAGAGGTGCTGGGGTTGAGGAGTGCCTGAAGGCCACACCTGTCTGACTCAGCAGCCCAGGTTACTCATCCCAGGTGTGGTGCGATGCTGCTATTTAGTGGCCAGGCAAAAAAAAAAAAAGTGGGGGGAGCCTTTGCACATGCCAGAGGCACTGTTTTCCACTCATAGAATAATAGAGTTGTGGGGTTGGAAAGGGACCCAAAAGGTCATTTCATCGAACCCCCTGCAACACATGAATCACAGCTAAAGTGATCTGTATCTAACCCCAAAATAAGGGGCAGTATGGCAGTGCCCTGAGAGAAATGGAAATAGATACACCTAGGGTGTGTGGCCGGGTGGCGCTGTGGGTTAAACCACTGAGCCTCTTGGGCTTGCCAATCAGAAGGTCAGCGGTTTGAATCCCCGCAACGGGGTGAGCTCCCGTTGCTCGGTCCCTGCTCCTGCCAACCTAGCAGTTCGAAAGCACGTCAAAGGGCAAGTACCGTATTTTTTGCACCATAACACTCACTTTTTTCCTCCTAGAAAGTAAGGGGAAATGTCTGTGCGTGTTATGGAGGGAATGCCTACGGGTGGCGGGGGGGGGGGGGATCTGCTGCAGTCGTGAGCAGAGGATCCATGGTTCCCCTGCCTTCCCTCCTCTGTGGCTCGCTTTGAAACAGCAAAGCGGGAGAAGAGCCGCTGAGTGGGGAGGAGAGAGGGACAGAGAGTCTGCTTCTTTAATAGGAGCAAAGCGGGAGAGAAGAGGAGCCTTTTACATGAGTGTAAGCGGCTCCTGTCTGGTTGGTTCCTTTAAAGCAAGCAGGCTCTCTTTCCCTCTCTCCTCCCCACTCAGCTCGCTACATAGCAGCAAAGTTTTTCAGCTCGCTAAGCCGGGGATGAGTGGGGAGGAGAGAGAAAACCAGAGCCTGCTTGCTTTAAAGGAGCAAAGTGGGAGAGGAGAGGAGCCTTCTCCCCTTATACCCCTCTTCTTCATTATTAGCAGCATCCTTCTCCACACCCCCCACGCATGTTCCTTCTCCCCTTAAACCCCTCTTCTGCATTATTAGCAGCATCCTTCTCCACACACCCCACGCGTGCTCCTTGTCCCTTGAGTGCTTTTCCTTCCCTCCCCACTTAAAACGTGGTTACAAAGCACGGATCCACATGGATCCTCAGGATTTTTGCACTGGGTCACCCCAAATTCACCATCAGATCACATAGCATGTCCATGGCTACATCTTGCACCAAATAAATCACACACCCACTGTGGCCTGGGGCCGCAGTGGTGCAAAAACATGGTTACAAAGCATGGATCCACATGGATCCTCAGGATTTTTGCATTGGGCTACTCCAAACTCACTGTCAGATCACATGTCTGTGGCCACAGCATGAACCACAAAAATCATACATCCACTGTTTCGTTTAGAATATTTTTTTTCTTGTTTTCCTCCTCTAAAAACTATGTGCGTGTTATGGTCGGGTGCGTGTTATAGAGCGAAAAATACGGTAGATAAATAGGTACCGCTCTGGCGGGAAGGTAAACGGCTTAGTCATGCTGGCCACGTGACCCAGAAGCTGTACGCCGGCTCCCTCAGCCAATAAAGCGAGATGAGCGCCGCAACTCCAGAGTTGGCCACGACTGGACCTAATGGTCAGGGGTCCCTTTACCTTTACCTCGGGTGCGTGGCAGAGTTATGGCCAGCGGTGTAATGATGTGGAGTTGCAGTGGGTGGGGGGTGGAGAAATCAAAGATCTGTTGTTGTTATTTCTGCAGCAGGGATCCTGTTTCCGGAGTCCAATGCTGCCCAATCAGTACGAAAGGGGAGCTCCTTAGCCTCCATTTCCCCAAACATCCTTCCAAGGGAGGTTCACTGTGCTTAGATGCTGCGTGCACAGTGCTGGGCCCAGAAAAAAACCCTGTTGATACCCTGCATTATTGTAAATCCAGCCCTGCATGCAGAGGTGCATGGTACCTCCGAAGATTGGAGACACCATGGACCAGAAACTCAAAAAGTTTCCTCTTCATCATCTTTTGCACTTTGCCAGTGACTTCCTTTGTCTCCATCAGGGTCAGGTCTCCTCTGCCAATTATGAGGAACGGTTGAAGGAGCTAGGTCTGTTTAGGTTGGAAAAGAGGAGACTGAGAGGAGATATGATGGCCATCTTCAAATATCTGAAGAGCTGTCCCATGGAAGAGGGAGCAAGCTTGTTTTCTCCTGCTCTTGAGGGTAGGACTCGAACCCATGGCTTCAAGTTACAAGAAAGGAGATTCCGACTAAACATACGGAAAAACATTCTCCACCCCCATCGTTCTGCCCGGACACTGAGGTCCAGTGCCGAGGGACTTCTGGCGGTTCCCTCACTACGAGAAGCCAAGTTACAGCAAACCAGGCAGAGGGCCTTCTCGGTGGTGGCACCCGCCCTGTGGAACTCCCTCCCATCAGATCTCAAAGAGAACAACAACTACGAGACTTTTAGAAGACATCTGAAGGCAGCCCTGTTTAGGGAAGCTTTTAATGTTTGATGCATTACTGTATTTTAATATTTTGTTGAAAGCTGCCCAGAGTGGCTGGGGAAGCCCAGCCAGATGGGCAGGGTATAAATAATAAATTGTTGTTGTTGTTGTTGTTGTTGTTGTTGTTGTTGTTCTGATGGTGAGAGCTGTTCAGCAATGGAAAGGTCTTCCTTAGGAGGTTGTGGACTCTCCTTCCTTGGAGTTTTATAAGCAGAGGTTGGATGGTTGTCTGTCATGGATGCTTAAGCTGCAGCGGGTTAGACTGGATGACCCCTGGGGTCCCTTCCAACTACGGTTCTATGATTCTGCTTCCTTCCTTTCTCCCTCCCCTCCTTTTCCCTCCTCCTCCTGCAACTCTCACCCGCTGTCTCCATCTTTCTTCCTCCAAGCCCCACTGAGCTCTCCACCAACACTTCTTATAGCACCACCAGCTGAGGGGGCCACACAGGAATCCTGCAACAGCCCATGGCAGCGACTCCGCAAGGAGCCCAGAGGAGCCTGCATGCCTTGCACAACCACCCGGAGCAGCGGAGGAGCCACCCAGGGAGCAAGCGGGCAGGATCCTTGCCACTCCGAGCCAGGGTGGAAAGGTGTGGTATTTGCACCTTCCTGGGCATGTGCCCTTGGTGGGGGTTGGGCTAGCCGGCCCCTAAGTCCTCTCTTGCCTGCATGGGATGAGACCCACTCAGAAGGTATTTTTTTCTTTTTTTGCATCTCAGTTCAACAATTGCCTCCTTTGCCTGTTTGTGTCTGAATATTTTCTTTGTTGGTTGGCATCCGTCTGTCTCGGATGGAGGAGTGTGCCTTTGGGGTGAACAGCGCCTGCTGGGGCTGCAGAGACCTATGCGAGAGAGACATGTTTTGTTGCAGCCGGGGCAGATGAAGGCATCTGGATGTGCTGTTGCAGACGCGCCATGGCGTTTCTATCTGGCAGGGGCAGGGGAAGTGGCCTTTGCGAAGGGCGAAAGAGCAGATAAATGCTTTTCCTCTTCTCTTCTTTCCTCCCCCTCCTCCCTTTTAGAACTCTCTTTTTCAGTTCTGAATTCTCAGGAGAGCCAAATGCTATCATAGAAACTCTGTCGCTCCTAATCTGTATCCCTCAAACACATTCAAGAGCTGATTCCCAAAAGGAGTTGCACAAGCTTCAGAACGCACTCTTTGTGTGTGCGTGCGCACACTGATTTACACCACCGGAGAAGGACCTCTGGCCTCGCACGCTTGCTCTAAACAAAGGCGCCGATTCTCTCTCTGCTGGGCCTCCTTCTCCGTGCTGGTGCAGTGGAAGTTTGCTTTCTTATGGGCTTCAGACATTTAAAAGGGACATTGCCGTGTGTATCTTTTGCTTTGATGCACACAAATGTTCCTCTTTCAACAGCTCAGTTCCTCTGCCATTCGTTTCAAAGGGACTTTTTGTCTTTCCAAAGCCTCACAATAATCCTTCTGTCCGGTTTCCCACCAGGCTGGGGAAACAGGAGAGCTGACAAAGTGGGCTGCTTTAGCAACAACGGCCCAACCATTCCTTCGGAGACCTAATCCCAGTGGAGTCTCCCAAACACAGCTTCCCACCGTAGCCTATGCTGCTGTTCAGTTCTGACCCGGCCACAGGCATGCGTGCTTTGGGACAGGTGGCTTCTAGGCCAGACAACTGGAACACACTGCACAAGGGGCAAGACTTGAAGTGCATTCAGAAACCGCAGTTGTCCCAACACAGAGGACATGAGTGGCGCTGTGGGTTAAACCACAGAGCCTAGGGCTTGCCGATCAGAAGGTCGGCAGTTCGAATCCCCACCACGGGGTGAGCTCCCGTTGCTCAGTCCTTGCTCCTGCCAACCTAGCAGTTCGAAAGCACCTCAAAGTGCAAGTAGATAAATAGGTACCACTCTGGCGGGAAGGTATACGGCGTTTCCGTGCGCTGCTCTGGTTCGCCAGAAGCGGCTTAGTCATGCTGGCCACATCACCCGGAAGCTGTACGCCGGCTCCCTCGGCCAATAAAGCGAGATGAGTGCCGCAACCCCAGAGTTGTCCACGAGTGGACCTAATGGTCAGGGGTACCTTTACCTTTACCTTTACTGCCTGGAAAGCACAGAGGAGAGGTAAGTTTGAATAAGCCCTACAAGCAATGCAGGTGGGTCCATTTGGGCAAATTTCTATTGTAATTATCTGCACACTGCATAGAATTTTGCCCCATATTTTGGAGATGGTGTTTCCTAATACTTCCCCCATTCAGTTCAATGGAGCGGAGGAGCAGAGGAAACTCGGCTAAACCAAGGGACACCATTGGTCTATCTAGCTCAGAATTGTCTACAATGACTGTCAGTCCTGACTGGAGATGTCAGGATTGAACCAGAGACCTTCTGCATGCAAAACAGATGTTCTGCCACTAAGCCATGGCCCTTCCAGAGGTTTTCCTGGCACCAAACTCTGCCAGACCCGAGTTCTGTGCAAGCAACATCGAAATTAACGGACAGAGATTGGGCTTGATGAATAAAGATGCCACAGGCGTGCGGAGTTGTGCCCAACATTGGGGGAGGGGGCCTGTCACACGTGCATGACGTCACACACACAACGCCCCACCCCACCCCAGTCCACCCCCCACCCACCGCCAGCTGCCTTGCCTTGTGAAAGGGACAGGAGGGGTGCTTTGGGGATCATTAAAGCACAACCTTTTGAGGATGCTGCAAAATTTTGGGGTGGCCCAGCACCCTTCTAGAAAATATTCGGGGAGGGTTCTGGCTCCTCTGCTCCCCCCCCCCCCATGGCGCTCCTGGTTCCATATTTGTATGAACTCCATCATTTAGTGTGGCAGCAGCAACATTTTGGAATTCCCTGCCTGTTGATATCAAACGGGCACCTTCTTTTTGCTGCCTGCTGGAAACATCCTTGTTTAGACAACCCAGTTTCTGCCCATGCTGTAGAGGAAAGTGAGGGGCAGATGGGGCTCATCAACTTGGGAAGGGAGGGAGCCCATCTAACAGAAGGAACACTCTGATTCCAAACCTCCGCTGCCTTGTGGGATATCTTTGGGCTAAGGAGTAAACCAAACACAAATCTGGCGTGGGGTCCCTAAGACAGTGGAATGGCACCTTCTATGCCTCCTTCCTACAATTCCTGCAGCCCAGCTGGTGCCAAACGTCTTGCTCTGCTTTCCTTTGGGCCACATCAATGCAGCCAAGAGAGAGGTCTTGTCGTCTGGGCAGCCCAGGACCTCCATGCACACTGCCCCAGTTTGCGCCCCAGGAGGTCGCTTCAGTGCTGCTAATGCAGCTGCTTGACTTTACCCCTGGAAGTATACTCCATTGCCTCTCAAGACAGACAGATGTCAACAACAACACAGATGCTGAGAAAGTTGAGGTATTTTTTGTATGTTTTAGTGTTTTAACTTTTGCATGTTTTAACATATTGTTGTGATTTCCCCACCTGACTTTATTATAAACCACTTTGAGAGCTGTTTTTTTGTTTGTTTGTTTTTAGCAAGCGGTGTATAGATTTCATGAAATAAAGACAGACAGACAGACAGACATATGGTTTTCTTCCAACTCTGAAAATTTGCCCCATAAATCTCTGAAAATTGTCCACCTTGGGTTGCAGATCTCCCCCCCCCCCCAGCTCTTTAATAGCAAAGTATCCCGCAGATCTCCTTCATGAAGGAAATGGATAGCAGTGTGATATCATACCCTCCAACATTCCTCCAATGAAAATAGGGACAAGGGTGGAGCTGTGGTCTAAACCACAGAGCCTAGGACTTGCCGATCGGAAGGTCACGGTTTGAATCCCCACGACGGGGTGAACTCCCATTGTTTGGTCCCTGCTCCTGCCAACCTAGTAGTTAGAAAGTATGTCAAAGTGCAAGTAGATAAATAGGTACCGCTCTGGCGGGAAGGTAAATGGCATTTCCGTGCACTGCTCTGGTTCGCCAGAAGCAGCTTAGTCATGCTGGTCACATGACCTGGAAGCTGTACGCCGGCTCCCTCGGCCAGTAAAGCAAGATGAGCACCGCAACCCCAGAGTCGTTTGTGACTGGACTTAACTGTCAGGGGTCCTTTACCTTTTTTTATTCCATAATAACAGCAACAACAATTTTATTATTTATACCCTACCCATCTGACTGGGTTGCCTCAGCCGCTCTGGGTGGCTTCCTACATACAGTATATGAAAACATAATAAAACATTAAACAGTAAAAAAAAAAAACCTCCCTTTTACAGGGCTGCCTTCCGATGTCTTCCGAAGGTTGTATAGTGTCTTATCTCCTTGGCTCGGTGGTCGCGTAGCTCCATACCCTCCAACATTTCTTCAGTAAAAATAGGAATGCCGGGATCAAATCAGAAACTGGGATGGCTTCTGGAAATCCGGGACTGTCCCTGGAAAATAGGGCCACTTGGAGGGTCTGCGCTATCATCATCTTCTGGAGCAGATGGGTGAAGTGTCTGAGAGTGGGTTTTTTAAACTAAGGGAAGTAATGTACCACAGCAATCCTTAAATATTATTCATGCACAGATAAATGAGGTTTTTAATTAAATGGCACGCTCTGATACACTACCCAATAGATTCGGTAATAGCTGCCTTTAATGCTCCAGACACACCTGATCTTTAACGACAGGATAATGACAATGATGATCCTAATCCGTGGAATATAAGGTGAGTCAGGCTGTTTCTGAGACCTTTGGCAGGGCGGCTCCGAGTCAGTCCTTTTGGCGTGGCTGCTAGGATTTGCTATAGTTGCTCCATTAACGTGTGACCCCAACATTTCAGATTCCCCCCCCCCCCAGCACTAGCCAAAGGTTAGGGCTAGTTTTGTGCTGCAAACCCTGCGTCTTGTGCTGCCCCCCTCCAAAAAAAACCTGAGTAATTGCCACTCAAACTGGAGTCACAAGTAAATGGCCAAGAGCCCAACCTCCTCTGATTGACTGCAAATGGGAGCTCAAGTTGTGTGCTGGTTCGCTGCCGTTTTGAACAGCTCTTACTGCCAGAAAGCTCTTCCTGGTGTTTAGTCAGAATCTCCTTTCTTGCAACTTGAAGCCATTGGTTCGGGTCATAGCCTCTGGAGCAGGAGAAAACTTGTTCCTTCTTCCATGGGACATTTGGTGATGGCTATCATATCTCCTTCCAATCTCCTCTTTTCCAGGCTAAACATACCTGGCTCCTTCAAGTGCTCTTCGTAAGGCTTGGTTTCCAGACCCTTGATCATCTTGGTTGCCCTCCTCTGCACATGTTCCAGCTTGTCAATATCCTTATGAGAGCCAGTGTGGTGTAGTGGTTAAGAGCGGTAGTCTCGTAATCTGGTGAACCGAGTTCGCTTCCCCGCTCCTCCACATGCAGCTGCTGGGTGACCTTGAGCTAGTCACACTTCTTTGAAGTCTCTCAGCCCCACTCACCTCACAGAGTGTTTGTTGTGGGGGAGGAAGGGAAAGGAGATTGTTAGCCGCTTTGGGACTCCTTAGGGTAGCGATAAAGCGGGATATCAAATCCAAACTCTTCTTCTTCTTCCTTAAATTGTGGTGGCCAGAATTGGACACAGTACTTGAGATGTGGTCTGGCCAAGGAAGAATAGTGTGAGACTCTTATTTTCCCTGCTCAGATGGTATTCTTCTGTTGATGCAGCCTAGAATAGCACAGACACGTAGCTGGGGGGGGGGGCCAGGGGGCACTGGGTGCCACACCACAGGGGGCTGCACTTACCGTGGGGCCTGCAGTGTGCCTGAGCTATGTGTCTCTCCAGGGCTCAGGCATCTGCAGGCTCTGCGCTGCCTGAAAAAGCAAGCGGCTAGCTACCCCGCTGGAATAGCATTAGCTTTTTTGCTGCTGCATCACACGATGGATTCATGTTCAGCTTGTGGTCCACTAAGACACCCCCCCCCCCAGATCCTTTTGACATGTACTGTTAGTAAGCCAGGTGTCCCCCATCTCATATTTATGCAGCTGGTTCTTCCTGCCTAAGTGCAGAATCTGACATTTGTCCCTATTGAAGGGTTGGATCATAAGATCATAAGCAGAGCCTGCTGGATCAGACCAATGGCCCATCTTGTCCAGCATCCTGCTCTTAGAGTCACCAGGCAGATGCCTGGAGAGAATCTACAAGCAGGACATGAGCCCATGAGCCCTCTCCCCTCCTGTGAATCCCTGCGACGGGGCGAGCTCCTGTTGCTCTGTCCCAGTTCCTGCCAACCTAGCAGTTCAAAAGCAGACCAGTGCAAGTAGATAAATAGGTACCACTCCGGCGGGAAGGTAAACGGCGTTTCCGTGCGCTCTGGTTTTTTTTCTCTCTTTTTTTGAAGACAATCTTTTTTTATTTTTATAATTACATACTATACATATGTAATTTACTTTACATTTACATTCACTCCTAAGAGTTGACTTCCCTCCTTCCTTCTTCTGGCTTTTTAATGTTGTCTCTAAGTTTTTCGCATTGTCTTTATCGATTTTGTATATTGCTGTTCTTCTTTCAACTTTATCTGTCTATATACAAATAAATCTTTCTGGATGTACATGTCTTGTTGTTTGTCTATATTCATTTACAGATACAATTAGTTACCTTGATTGTATTTTACATTTTAATTCATATTGTCATTGACATCCAGTAAAGTTTCTTTTACTTTCCCATTATGCGCTCTGGTTTCTGCCATGGTCCTCCGTGCACCAGTAGCGGTTTAGTCCTGCTGGCCACATGACCCGGGAAACTGTCTGTGGACAAACGCTGTCTCCCTCGGCCTGAAAGCAAGATAAGTGCCACAACCCCATAGTCAACTTTGACTGGACTTAACCGTCCAGGGGTCCTTTACCTTTACCTTTCCCAGCAACTGGTTTTCAGAAGGTTTTTTGCTGCCTCCAACTGTGGACACAGAGCAATAGCCATTGTGGCTGGTAGCCATCAGTAGTCCCCTCCTCCATGAATTTTTCAGATCCCCTTTAAAAGCTATCTCAATTGAACGATGGGTTTAAGGAAGGCCTCCTCAGTCCCTGCAGCAAACCTGCCGCAAAGCTTTACAGCAAATGTGGGACTGCTATTCTAGAAAATGTTATTTTGCTTCTGACCTCAGGACCCTCTTTCTGACACCTCTTTCACCTCCCTGGTGACAGGCAGCAGATGTCCTACAAAGCAGCAGATGTTCTTAATGGTTCTTTCGTGGGTGGGGGGGATGTGTGAAGGCGTTGTGGGTCTTTTCTGTGATTTATTTATGCACTCCTCACCAGCTGGGGGACTGCTGTGGTCAGTTGAGCTAAAGAGCTGGGAGGTTTCCAAAGCTAAAAATCAAACTGAGGGCAGCCCCCCCCCAAGTTTTTATGAATGGAGATAATTTCCATGTCCGGATCCCAACCCCTCTGTCTCCACCCCAGCCTGTGCCTCAGAAATGCCTTGTATGACTGTCGCCATAGATGATAAGCATATAAGGTACCATGCTTTAGTTCAAAAACTTATTTCATTGCAAACCAGGTGGTTCATGCGCAGTGTTGCTGCCTGGGTATATATTTTGCACGAGCACTCAATAAAATGGCTCACCACTGTTTGATTTCTCTCTCTCCTGCGTTCTAAAGGCTCTCCCTTTTCCATCGATTTTTCCATTTGTTTTCAGAACGCAACAGAGAGTGAAAGAAAGCTCAGGGGGCGGGATAGAGGTGGACTCCCCCTACCATGAAGGTGGCCTCGTTGCATTGCCCCCAAAGGAAGAAATGCATCTCACACACACACACACACACACACACCCCAAAGACAGGTCAAGAGAGGATGCAAATTTGCATGCCCTTTGTATTCGATGATGTATATGTCTTGCAATGGGTTGGCTGGGGGCAGAGGAATGGTGGGAGGAACCAGCTGGGGAACCCGCAAGGGAACCCCCAGGGGGGAAAGGCTCAGAGCCAGGGGATTGGTGGTGGGATGACAATGAGCGACAGTGAGAGAAGAGGGAGAAGACTGGGAGAAGGAGGTGTCAGAAACTGAAGAGACAACAGGGCTTAGTGAGCAGGGAGAGTTTGTGGCAGACAGCAGTCCAGAATCAGAGGCAGGAGAGGAGGGAGGCCAGGAGACAGAGATGAGGCAGACTGCTGAAGAATCCAGGGAGTCTCCCCCTCCTGCTGCGACCAGCTCCCCTCTTCCCCCCTGGTATCCCAGAACACCCAGATAAATGAAGAGGGCAGCAGAAAGAGAGACAAGACGACAGAGTATGAGGTTGCTGGGGGGGACGGATGAGGGAAGGAGCCTTAAAAAGTGATGGGAAGGTGGGGATCTCCAGCCCTCACAACTTGGGGCAAGACCTACTGGGAAGGGTTGCTGTGACCACTAGGCCTGAGCTGTTTTCGTTTCTTTGACTAAAGAGTTAACTTCATGGGCATCGGGCGATTTATTGTTTTATTGCTGACCTACGCCTGCTTCTGGCTCCTGACATGTATAGATGCAAACTTAGAAATGCTTCCCACAGCTGAAAGAGAAGCACCATCGTGATCTAAATAACAATAAGAATAATTTATTATTTATATTTTGCCCATCTGGCTGGGTTTCCCCAGCTACTCTGGGTGGCTCCCAACAGCAGCAGCAGCAGCAGCAGCAGAAGAAGAAGAATGCAATAAAACATCAAACATTAAAAACTTCCCAAAATAATAATACAGTGGTACCTCGGGTTAAGTACTTAATTGGTTCCCGAGGTCTGTTCTTAACCTGAAACTGTTCTTAACCTGAAGCACCACTTTAGCTAATGGGGCCTCCTGCTGCCGCCGCACCACCGGAGCACGATTTCTGTTCTCATCCTGAAGCAAAGTTCTTAACCTGAAGCACTATTTCTGGGTTAGCGGAGTCTGTAACCTGAAGCATATGTAACCCGAGGTACCACTGTAATATTTCTGGCCTCTTCATTCTGCTGCCTGGGTGCTCACAGCTGGTGGGCAACTCCAAGGCCTTCTGCAAAACAGGGCACACACAGGAATGCAGGGAGCTGCCTTCTACTGCATCAGACCATCGGCCCATCAAGCTCAGTATTGTCAACACTGACTGGCAGCAGCTCTCCGGGGTTTCAGGTGAGACATTCTCAGCCCTACCTGCAGATGCCAGGGAATGAATCTGGGACCTTCTGTTTGCAAAGCAGGCGCTCCACCACAGAGCTATGGCACTTTTCCAGCCCCAATTCTTCGAGAGGAAATCCTTCCATCCTCCCAGGATGATGCCCTCCCAAGGCCCCAGTGGTGAAAGGACATTTCTGGAACACACTACATTTTGAACCCATCACCACTGATGCATCTTTCAGCCTGTTAGGCTATTCATGCAACTTCTCATTGGAATGAATTGTTTTAAAGAGCCCTGTACAAAACACAGGGACGCAGGCGGCGCTGTGGGTTAAACCACAGAGCCTAGGATTTGCTGATCAGAAGGTCAGTGGTTCGAATCCCTGTGACGGGGTGAGCTCCCGTTGCTCGGTCCCTGCTCCTGCCAACCTAGCAGTTCAAAAGCACGTCAAAGTGCAAGTAGATGAATAGGCACCACTCCAGCGGGAAGGTAAACGGCGTTTCCATGCGCTGCTCTGGTTCACCAGAAGCAGCTTAGTCATGCTGGCCACATGACCTGGAAGCTGCACGCCGGCTCCCTCGGCCAGTAAAGCAAGATGAGCACCACAACCCCAGAGTCATTTGTGACTGGACTTAACTGTCAGGGGTCCTTTACCTTTTTTTATTCCATAATAACAGCAACAACAATTTTATTATTTATACCCTACCCATCTGACTGGGTTGCCTCAGCCGCTCTGGGTGGCTTCCTACATATATGAAAACATGATAAAACATTTCCAGTGGTTCGAATCCCTGTGACGGGGTGAGCTCCCGTTGCTCGGTCCCTGCTCCTGCCAACCTAGCAGTTCGAAAGCACGTCAAAGTGCAAGTAGATGAATAGGTACCACTCCAGCGGGAAGGTAAACGGCGTTTCCGTGCACTGCTCTGGTTCGCCAGAAGCGGCTTAGTCATGCTGGCCACGTGACCCGGAAGCTGTACGCCGGCTCCCTCAGCCAATAAAGCGAGATGAGCGCCGCAACCCCGGAGTCGGCCACGACTGGACCTAAGGGTCAGGGGTCCCTTTACCTTTACAAAACTCTGAATTATTTGTCTATCGTTTTATTGGCTCTGATTTCTCATTGAACTCTTCGCAAGTATTGATCTCGCTAAGTGCCGCATAAAAATACCCATACACCTTTGTGAATTCTCTACAAACATTAGTTTAGCGAGTTAATGAACCTTTTCCATAGCGGTTTTATGAAACCAGAGACGAGGAACCTGTTTGCCTCCAGATGTTGAGGCATCATGACCAATGGTCAGGTTTGGTGGATGCAGGAGCTGTGAGTGAACAACCACCAGAGAACCACAGATTCTCCACCTCCCTGGATTTTAAAAATGCAAGATGGACTATGCCTTACTAAATGCTTTATAAATATTGCATTAATCCAAACTTCCCTGAGGCCATTTAGCACTAGCGTTGCACAAGTGAGGGCTGGTGAATTTCAAAGAGAAGACTCCCTGGAAAAGACCCTGCTGTTGGGAAAGATGGAGGGCACAAGGAGAAGGGGACAACAGAGGACGAGAGGTTGGAAAGTGTTCTTGAAGCTACCAGCATGAGTTTGACCAAACTGTGGGAGGCAGTGGAAGACAGGAGTGCCTGGCATGCTCTGGTCCATGAGGTCACAAAGAGTCGGACACGACTAAACGACTAAACAACAACAACAACAACATGTGCATTGGTGAAAGGGTTTAACTGGAAGACTCCACTGAAGCTAAATTAAGAGCAAAAGGGCTCTCTGAGCTGCCTTGACGGATTGATAATTAACTGTTATTGTTCTCAGGTAGCTCTCACCGTTGTGTTTAACCTTAGATCACACGAAAAGTATTGAATTGCAAATTTGCCATCTTGGAAGGGTAGTGGCTGGAGATTTTTGTTTGCAGACTCTGTGAAAGGAAGGATGTATATGACTTTCCGGAATCCTCAGAGCCAAGGGCAGGGTGCAGGCTGTGGGGAGAGACAGACCTTTGCTTCGAGGTCTGTTGGAATTATTTCATATGTTGTACGATGCTGAGCCTATGTCTTGGACTGGCATACGTCTTAGCTGAGATTCCTGCATTGCAGGGAGTTGGACTAGACGATGCTCAGGGTCTCTTCCAACCCCACAATTCTATGATTCTATTATCTGACGTGAATCTTCCAGCAAGGAGGAAAAAAACGCAGCGAACAGACCGTGGGGAAGAACACCAGGCAGACACATTAATTTTGTTTCTGCGCGTTCTCTATCTGATTTCCTTCAGCTCACGTGGAAAAACATTATTTCAGGCCTGAAAACATATAACACCTTTCATCTGGAAAGGAGGAAAAGAAAAGAAAATCTCTTGTTAGTTCTGTTATCAGCCCAAGTACTTGTGATGCTATCTTTTCGGATTTTGTAAGCTTGGCAAAGCTGGGAGGGGTGTGTGGGGAGCACAAGATGGATGGCAAAGTGTTCATGGAAGCCATAGGGAAATGCTGGCTATTTTGAAGGCTGAAAAAGTCGAGGGGGACTTGGGGGACAGCCTTGAGAGGTATGCAAGAGTTGTCTCTGCCAGAGAAGGGAATAAGCAATAAGAATATAAGAATAAGAGCCTCCAGGATCAGCCCAGTGCCATTGTGTTACCTGCGGGTGGTTTCATTCCTTTAGCAAAATCCTCCTCTCCTCTGGTGGTCCTTTTGTGGAGAAACCACTCATCTTGTGCAAAGCATTTGCCACCTTCTCTTGGCAGCGCCTTTGCTTGGACTGCCATCGTAGGCACGGCCATTTCTTAATTTAAAGGTTGGCACCCTGATCCCGGTTGCCCATGCGTTTCCAAAAAATGGCTTACCCAGCCCGGGTCTGTCTTCCTTCTCACCCAGAGAAGAAAAGGCTTGCGTGCACAAATTGGAAATAATAATAATAATAATTTTTTATTTATACCCTGCCCATCTGGCTGGGCTTCCCCAGCCACACTGGGCGGCTTCCCAAAAAAATTAAAATACTGTAATACATCAAACATTAAAACCTTCCCTAAACAGGGCTGCCTTCAGATGTCTTCTAAAAGTTTGGTAGTTGTTGTTCTCTTTGACATCTGGTGGGAGGGTGTTCCACAGGGAGGGCGCCACTACTGAGAAGGCCCTCTGCCTGGTTCCTTGTAACTTGGCTTCTCGCAGTGAGGGAACCACCAGAAGGCCCTCGGCGCTGGACCTCAGTGTCCGGACAGAACGATGGGGGTGGAGATGCTCCTTCTGGTATACTGGGCCGAGGCTGTTTAGGGCTTTAAAGGTCAGCACCCACACTTTGAATTGTTCTTGGAAACGTATTGGGAGCCAGTATAGGTCTTTCAAGACCGGTGTTATATGGTATCGGCGGCCGCTCCCAGTCACCAGCCTGGCTGCCGCATTCTGCCGCCACTTCCCACGTTACTGCCAGGTACCAGGGGCATCCAGAAATAAGATTGATCTTTGTGGGGGGAGAGGGATGAATGGAGGGGGGAGGATTTCAAAAGGATCTGCTTTGCCACTCAGGCTCCCTTCTCCCTTCCCTGCATGTTTCCCCTTTCCTGATGTTATCAAAGTGTTTGGTGGGGTGGTAAGCCAGGGGCGGAGGAAGAGGGGTGCAGTGAGGGCAGGCCACCCTGGGTATCACGACTGAGGGGGGTGACAAAATGCCGGGTAGCACTCACCACGGGGCCTGCAGTGCGCCCAAGCCAAGTGTCTCTCCTGGGAGTGACACGGCGGCTTGGGCACCCGCAGGCTCTGCGCTGCCCCAAACGGTTCGCCCACCGCCTCCCCCTCAGCTGTAGGGCAGCTGAGTGGGAGAAGGCAGGCAGACTCCTCGGAGGCCCCACGGAGCGTCCTGCCCCGGCTCACCCCGCCCCACGGGCAGCTGGCCCCACCGCTTGGCTCAGAGCACATGCACCGCCCCAGGCATCTGATCGGTTTGCTCCGTCGCATAGCCAGGGTTTTTGTTGGGGGGGGGCCCAGCCAAAACTTTTTAGGAAACCAAAGTTGTTGAGCTTTCCTTGGGAACTCACCGGTTAAAATGCCCCCGTAAATAGGACAGGCTTTTGCTGTGGGGGCAGAACCTCAGATAATTGAATACTTTCAGTGCTTTTCAATAATATTTGTGGAAGGAGGGGGACAGGAGCCCCCCTCCTTGACTATGCCCATAATAAGCTCCATGCCTGAGCCGCTTCGAATTCCTGGATCCAGCACAGATTCAATTCCTGGAATAGCCTCCAACTTACCCTAAGTACTGTTTCTCATGAAGGTCTTCTTTCGCTTCCTTTTCTGCTCCTCACCCCCTCGTCTTGGGCTTTCCCACCCTCGCCGGTGCCCATTTCCCCACTCTGTCACAATTATAAGCTCAATTTCCTGAATACCTGAACATGCTCCGCCGCCGGAGGAACCCAGAGCCCGAACTAAGATTAATGGGCGAAGAGCAGGAGGGAAGCTTTTAAAGATTAGCACTGGGATTGCAAGCGCCGGTTATGTTAACTGGCTCAAAGGTCTGAAAATGATGGACTGGGTTTTCAAGGGGCCTCCACAAGAGCTGGGCCCATGGCAGGGAGAGGGAACCCCACAGCTTTGCTGGCTGAGGCTGATGCCAGTCAGAGTCCGGTAACGGCTGGTGGGACACTGGTGCCCCATCCCTGGCCCACAGCAAATGCTACTGGGGAGATATGGGACGAGAGAGAGATTTCGTGCGTGAAAACATAGCACTAGAACTCACTCACATGCACTGGAGCTGAATGTTGGGCGGTCCGGGACAGACAAACGAAATTACTTCTTCACACGATGCATTGTTGGACTACGGAACTCACTCCCACATGATGGTCACCAAGTTGCATGGCTTTAAAAGCAGATTCAGCAGATTCATGGAGGAAAGTAAGGCTATCATTAATTGCCCATATTTTCCAGGGACAGCCCTAGAATTACAGAGTTACAGTTTATGATTTGATCCCAGAAAGTCCCGGTTTCCCTTTTTCCTCCCCCCCCCCCACGTCTTGGAGAAGAATTAAAAGTGGGGGTGGGTGGGGGGTGTAGTTGCCAAAAAAAGAGTCCTGTTTATACTGAAAATAAAATACCAGCACCAAGTGAAAGAAACG